CTTTTGTGCTGTAAAATGGCCTGTTAGCATTACAGATCAAGTGTTTCATTTCTGCAGATATGATTCATAAGTTCAGTGCTCTAACTGTTTTCTGCTATGTCTGTCTTTGCCAGCATGTGGGCATCTGTCTGCGGCCTATTTGTTGGAGGATATATTACATCCAGAATAAAACTCCCACATTTACTCATGGGAACACAAATATGATGGTGCACTCTCTCAGATTCCTGTGCTGTTGTCTCCCTGACAAATTCCCCTTTCTCCCTCTTCCTTACATGCTATACTTTTCTCTCTGTCCAATTCTCTTACTCTACTGAACACCCCTGAACACGCTGGACAAATTCAAACACAATAATGCCTTAGTACAAAAACCTTCTACACTTCTGTAGCCAGTTTTATCCCATGCTTCAGGAATCAAAACATGCAGAGATTAATTATTGTTATTTATGACACTCGTAAAATGGCTAAAACGAATTCATTTGTTTCAGTTGCAATAGATTGTACACATTCATGATAAAGGCAGAATACTGACCACATGATCATGGACACCATCTTCATGATGATCTCATTAAGGATGTTAAAGAACTCGCACATGAGCTTCCCCCTCTCTCCCATTTTCCCCATGCAGATGCCAAACGTGATGAAGAACCCAATCAAACCTTACAACACAGAGAGGTGACAAAAATGATGATTAAACATAGTGAAATTAAACAGAAATTCATCTATTTTCTATTGATAATTCCTAACATTATTTGGTATTCCAAGAATGCATCACAAACTGAAATGCCACTTTCTGTAGTTGCTGGTACTTAAAATTACATTTATGCTGTATTTTGCGTTTCAAGTACAGAAAAAAAACAGAATATACTCTAACCTAAAACATTCATTCCCCACTTGAGTTCCAGTTTTTTCCTATTGACAATGATCGGTTCTGTTTGGTTCTGGACTGGGACAGCTACTTTTTTCATCACCGTCTGAACCTGAAAAGAGAAGCAAGAAACAAATGACGATTCCATAAAACGGTAAGCAAAACTCTTTTGGACACAGTTTAGTGTAAATATATATATATATTATTATCATTATTAATTATATTATTACAATATTATTACTGTACTTTAAATGTTATTTTTATTATATAGAGTGAAACATTATATTTAACAGGACAACACTGTCACGGTTGTCTACAGGAGGAGCAAGGAACGAGGAGACGTGGAGTCATCACAAATAATAGTCTTTAATAATCTTCAGAAGGGGAGACACAGAGCAGGCAGGAACACAACATGTAGCACAACATTCGATGTTTAAGACCCGACAGAGACAGACTGAACTGACTAGAACTAAAGTACACAGGGGTACGAGGATAATTAACTAGACACAGCTGGAAACAAATGAAGAACTAATCAGGGAACGGGATTACGGGAAGGACCAAATAAGGGCATAAGCCGGAAACATAGGAAGCACGTGGGGGAGGAAAACACAACACATGACAGGAACAGGGCCTGACAAATACACTTAATTGAACAAATTAAAAAATTAATTATAAAGTATGAATTACCATGTAATTTATGGTGAAAATATATTGTAGTCACCAAGATATGTCTATAGTAAAATACTGTTTTGGAAGTAAAAAAAGAACAGCGGAAAACAGTAAAATTCTGGGATAATTTTCCCAGAAGTCCCTGCATGGCACATCACCTTTGATTATATCTTTTTTAGTCAGTCATATTCTTGAGTCTCTATCCTCGGCAGAGTTGCTCTCATAAAATGTTTTGACCCATTTCCATAAAAAAGAATGTTTAGTGTAGTGTTGCTCAATAAAAATGTGATGTGCAATGTGTTCAAAGCAAACAAACAATCAGAGAAAGACCCAGGTGGATCCACCTTGAAATGGTGTATATAAAGCTCTGCAAACGCAACAATTAGAAGGAACTCCTCAGATGAGAGCTTGATTATCTGGAATCAGTCTCATACACACCCTAATAATGTTTATTATATGCTCTGTTAAGAATAAATGGAAGAACACATGCTTCTGCAATGCTAAACATAAACCACAGTGTGAACATAAGATATCTTTAACCTCTTAAGACCCTGCGGCCTCATATGAGGACATTATATT